CTTAAGTTATTGGTTGGAGGATTCTCCCTTGATCTATTTCATCTAAATTGACTCTAAAGTGGCATGTTTCGAATTTATATGGTATTTATCACACACTAGAATCTACCATAGAGCAATTTATGTTTTTTATTCTCGATTGATATCATAAATCATGGCATAAGCAGCTCTCCATAAAGTTATTTGCATTCTAATGTAGGCCTTATCAATAGTATGGAGTGAGAAACTCTTTCAGGAAGGCAAGCTGCATCATAAGCACGTAGTGCTAGGGAAAAGTTAACTACCCTAAGAAAGAAGATAGCCCAAGGTCCAACAGAAGGTGCAATGATGGAGCCTTGTCTAGCATAATGACAATTTTTATCATGGTTTTCATTCTTAATATGGGAAGAACTGTTTTTGGAGGACGTGGATTTCCTGGATATGATCTCGAAAAATATATCAAAACAACTTTAGGCCATCAAAACCTAGATATGCAAAAGAAGAATTTGCATCTCCTAAAGCCCCGAACGACCCATTATGTTTCCAGTGTATGTCGACTTTAGAAGCCTGTTTAATAACAGGAAGGTAAAAATCTCCTAGAAATTGGAAGTTCTTTTCTTGTTGGAAAAAAAGAAGTTATTTAAGGAAGTTTTTAATGTATATGTTTGATAAGTTGTTGGAATGTTAAAGAAATTCTAAGTACATATGTTTGACAATATGTTGAAATATAAAGTCATGTTTATTTAAATATTATTAAAATATTATATATATATATATTATAATAGTATAAAAAAAAATATATGATAATAATTTAAATATAAATATATGATATTTATAACATACTATAATATATAATATAGTGTATTTTATATTTATTGTATTATTATATATTTATATTATATATAATATAATAAATTATTTTATTAATATTTATTCATATTATATAATACAATATAATACAAATATAAATATAATTATAAGGAGGGAGGCAAAATAGGGTTCAAGGAACCAAGTTCCTATTTTAAGTTCCATCATTTTAGATAGAACTTTTTTTCTTAAGTACAAGGGAATAAAGAAGTTCTGGGTGGAACTTCTTTATTGTATAAGTTTCGTGCATCAAACACAAAACTTGTACAGTAATGGGGTAGTTCAATCTTCTTCCCCTAACTTCTATTATCAAACACGCCCTAGAGGAAAGGGGAGCTAGGGATATTTTACGTATATATTTTAGGACTTCCTCTTCATTTAGAAGATTGATCGGTATAAGGATTAATTGAAAAGCAACAAAACTGAAAGCAATGAGGCAATATTGGTTTTATGGAAATTTACATTTTAGTCCCAATTATAGACTGTGTTTTTTTAAAAAAAAACAAAATTTCTTAGAACTGATATATGAAATTTTACCATTTTATCTTTTTAGTCAAAGTTCTCGCACGTTTTTTATGTGAGAAACAATCTTTCTCTTTATTCAATCAATGCAATAAGAGTACAATACAATTGTGGATTTATAGAGAGTGTACAACCAATACTTACTAAAACTATAGGATTCAGTTTTTATATAGGTATAGCATACAATTAGACACTGACAAATCTCAATATCCAGTTGTCATATTTGTTGTAGTTGTCATGTCTGTTCACTCTTCTCCTCAAACTCGAGATGATTTGAAAGGAATCATGGAGAGGTTGGAAACAAATTGTGAGAAAAGTTACAGGGGATGAGACTTAGTGAAGAAATCGATGAGTTGTGCTACGGTGGACACATATGGTAAGGAAATTGTGCTAATGACATATTCTTGTCGGACGTGTGGCAATCGACTTCAATATGTATCGTGTACTCATGGAATTCCAAATTTTTAGAAATATAAATGGCACTCTTGTTGTCATAATAAAGTGGAGTAGGAGTTGAGATAGTGACACCCTTGTCTTCGAGCAGCCAATGTAGCCAAACAATTTTAGCAGTAGTTTGTGTCATAGCCCGGTATTCAGCTTCCATAGTTGATTGAGCAATTCATTTATGTTTCTTGTTTTTCCAAGAGATAAGAGAATCACCAAGAAAAATGCATAATCATATGGTAGATTTGTGATAACCTGGGTTTCCTGCAAAATTGGAATTTGTGTAGGCCCAAAGCGCAAGTGAGGTAGAAGAGGAAACGAATAAGGAACGGTGACGGGTATCCCTGATATAATAGAGATCGAAGATCTGAGAGAATTTAGACAGATCTAGAG